ACTTCAACGCATAAATATAGCGGGCCTTAAAACTACACAGAGAGAGAGAGAGAGAGAGAGAGAATGCGATGCACATATTGCCGTCTAAATTACAAAAAATGAAAATAACACTGACATTTTATTTTAACAGATATATTTACCAAAATTACACAAATCTATCTTGAAATACTAAAGAGTAAATTTATTCATTAAAATCACCATTGACTTCAACCACGGCCTCCAAGACGACTTCGGAATCTTCTGCAACTCTTCTGGACAATCTCCTTGTTTAATTTTTAAACTCCTAAATGTAGCCGTCTCTTCTACTCTAATAGCTTCATGTCTCGCACCTCTCGCCTGTGGAACTCCCTTCCCTTCTCCTGTTTCCCTGCGAGCTATAATCTCCAGCTATTCAAGTGTAATGTCAATCGACAACTCCAGTTGCCTTGATCTATCCACTACCCTCATCCTTTCTTCTATCACTCCTATCTGATCTTGCTATTTCCTGTAATCCCTTGCATCCTAGTGCATTCCCGCCTTGCTTGGGGTGAAACGCTTAAAAAAAAAAATTGGTGAATGCTGCCATAACGCTTTCCTTCAGTTCATCTTTAGTGTTATATGAAGTTTTGTTGGTCTCTCACTCAACTGCGCCCCCCCCATAATACTCAAAGGGATTTCAGTCTGGAGAGTTAGGTAACCAGATGTAAGGGGTGGTGTGGTCGCAGAAATTGTCTGACAGCCATGACTGCGTTCTCCTGCTCGTGTGGCATGGAGCAGAGTCCTGTCGCCAGACATAGGGTCTTCCAGCAGCCACCCTCTTGATCCAGGAAAACACTACCACCTCAAGGAAACCTCTATTAACCGAGAGTTCGAAGCACGTTAAATCTAATGACGGTTTCCCCTAGGGGAACGCAGTTTCGATTCCTGCCAGAGAGCGTATATTTTTCTAATAAGATTTCTCGAATATTCAGGCCGGTAGACGAAAATAAGGAGCGTTTACTCAAATACGAATAGCCACTAAAAATAAAGTTTAAGTAATAAAATATGTCGGCTTAATAAATAAAAATCCTTTCTTATATATATATATATATATATATATATATATATATATATATATATATATATATATATATATATATATGTGTGTGTGTGTGTGTGTGTGTAACTTGTAAGAAAATTCAATAGATTTAAGTAATATCACTAACACTCTCAATTGACCCATTTTTGTACAAAAAGTAGGCTGCAATTTAAATTTACACAATAGCATTTATTGACCAATCAGCGACGTTATTTCAAACGCTCTTAAGGATTTGAAATTTCATACTATCCCACGGTTTTGTCTGCTACGAAATTTGAAAAATCACTCCAGAAAGTAATTAACAATATTTTCCCTCCTAAAAATAGATAAGTAAAATTTGGAAAAATATTTATAAAAAAAAAGCTGAGTTTAGTAAATGAACCATAAGATATAGCCACGGAGAATTGTTCGATTGGCAAGGTCGATTTAACTGCTTTTTATATCATTTGTTTACATTTGGATACGCTTTGAGCAGATATGAATGTACGTGAGAGATTCATGGAAGATTGAAGTTTAAAAGCAGCAAAATCGACCTTGCCAATGGAAAGATTCTACGTGGCTCGATCGGTTAGTTTCATAACTATAGTAAATTTATATATTATGGGTATGATATAAGGCACAATAGGCTAAATGACGGTTCCGTATAGGATAGAGGTTCGATTCCTGTCGGAGAACGAATATTTTCAGGCTGGTAAATGTTACTAATACTGTTTATTATATATATATATATATATATATGAGAGAGAGAGAGAGAGAGAAAAAAAATGAATGAAAACGGGAATCAACACTATTTGAAGATCACATTGAATCATGAAACTGACAGTCACCATAGAGAGTTGATTTCTCTATCCAGATTGTCTCTATCTACAAACGCTCTATTTTCGACATTGAGTAATTTTTCATAACTATAGTAAATTTATATATTATGGCTATGGATACTCAATGTGATCAGAAAAATAACGAGTTTAGTGTATCTGAAACGTGTATTATTTTCTCTTTTAAAAATTTCAAGAATCGAGTTACATTACATAAATGAAATCAATGTTGCTTCTTCGTTGAGTCATAGATAATAAGGCATTATTGTAATGAATTCAGTCGTCATTGGGTGCCTTAAACTTGTGATCTTATCCTAGAATAAGCTAATAATATCGGGGAGGAGGGTTAATTACTGTTTATACATTATTTTTTTTATATTCCAAAATATTCAGGCGCTTCATGTTGTGTATTTATTATCCTTTGTTTTTAACTCGGATATTGAAGCGAAACTGTTTCAGGCATTTTTTTTTTGTTTTTTTTTTTTGTACTTGTAGTGCCTTTAGGAATCAGGTAACTAAAGTGTGGTCTTATGCATTCAAGGCAGATCGCCAACAGCTGTGAATGATGAAACGTTCTCGGAAAATTTCCGCTCGGTTTGTGAGATAAGAAAGGAAGGAAATGGAAAAAGTATAAAAAAATAAAATGCAAAACAAAGAATTACTGACATTTTACACCTTAAGGAGTAAAAATATAAAAACATAAATAATTAAAGTAAGTAATGCTTTAACTGGTTTTTCATCTTCGTCTGGGCCACACATCGACGAACGTTTGATGAGAAAATAAAAAAAAAGGTGTTACGATTGTTAAAGAGAACAAAACAAAACCGAGATTAGCAAATAGCTTACAGGTGAAAAATATAAAAAATAATGCAAATAAAAATTGCACAAGCTATGTTGCCTTCCACAGACAATTTCTTTTTTATTATCTGTGATTTACCATGATTTCTCGGGAAAGATAGTAGAATGGTTTCAAGTTGCCTTCTTCAGGGATTTGAATACAGAGTAGACCTTCTCCTAGACTGGCTGCTATCCAAGCCTAGAGAGTCCACTTTACGTTGTTATTTAACGCATATATGGAGAATGAGAGGAGAGATGAATTTGCCTTTTCCCAAGTGCTAAAATAGAACAGACTAGACCGGAATTAAAACTCTACACGACTTACACTTTACCTTATTACTATTATTTCATATCAAATTTTATTCTTTATCTTTATGGCTGTTTTTTATTACTTTATCACCTTGGGTGATAAAGTCTTCATTATTATAATAATTATTAACTTTACTCCATCTAATTACTAATGCTTTTTATTACAACCTTTGTATTGATAGTCTTCGATTGTGATGGTAAACAGCCAGAAATCGAAAAAAATGAAGGCCCAACGAAACTGTAGTGATAAATTTTTCAAAATATTACGCAAATCTTGAACGTGTTATTGAATTTATCAGTTTGTTTAATCAACTGTAGTACGTGTTACTTAGTAAAAATTCATAAGTTGTAGAAATGGATTCCACCAAAACTTACAAAGACAAATATCTGTTAATCAAATTTATTTCTTCTGTAAGAAGAAAAAAACAACTAAGTATTATTATTAATATCGACTAGGGGTTGATTTACATGACTCCCCACTGAGTCAGGTTGTGACACAAGATCGGTTTTTAACGTGGGGACCCGAGTGTTTTCACTTGGGCCGCTGGTCTTAGCTGATCATAGCTTGTCCAAGCTGGTCTAAGCTAGTCATAGCTGTGATACTACCAGCACAGAGACGGATCCCTGCGACTAGCAATATTCGAATGTATTTACACACCACTCCTCCAAAGGGGGGTTGAATGTCAACGAGGGGTAATAAAGTAGGGTTTATCACGGGAATCAGAAACGAAAATCGTACCACAACATCTCAAGCTAAATAGAATCTCTGCTTTTGATAAGATTAAATGAAATTCTTCATTACGAATTGCTAGAAACGATACAAACTATCACATTGTAATTCGGCTTGTTCCTTAATTTTAGTGCGTATGTTACGTCCTGCCAATACCTGATAAATAACAGACTCTTCCGTTTTTGATCGCGAGGAAAGACGGAAAAGACGCATCAGAGATGTTGTTTGGCTTCAGTGAAAAAAAAAGAAAAAAATATAGAGGAGATAACGCTTTTGTGTGTTTAACGTTTGTTTTAGTGATTTGTTTTTTGACGGCTTATCAACCTTGTGTGAGTTAAGGCCGAAACATATTTTTTTGATTGTAAGATTAATTCTTATTATTTTATTTTGCGAGTGGATATTGCATTAACAATTTTTTGAGAATAACAATGATTTTTACAAAATACAAGTTTTACTATTTAACCCATAGTTGGGTGAGAGGAGATAGATTCGTATGTTTCTCAATGGTATTTGCGCGTAAGTGAATGTAACGTACCGGACTGGAATTCGAACTCGACCCTCTGATTTCTTATTGCGAGGCGCTAACCATTACACCATCGGAATATCTGCTTCAGTGAAATGATAAAAAAAACTTGTATATTTTAAATATTTTCATTTATACTTTCTTACTTCTTCAAATAATGAGCTTAATACTTATGATTGTCATTGTAATATTTTGTTAAAGATGTTAAGCTGAAATATTGTTAAAGATGTTAAGCTGAAATATTGTTAAAGATGTTAAGCTGAAATATTTAACGATACTATATTTGAATTATTACGGCTATTTTATAGTCATGAAACTCGCAAGAGTATTATTGAGGCATTAACTTAAAAATTAGGATTCATCCGAAAATCCAAAGAGTCGAATCATGAAATGTTCACGTGTACTACTAGTTATTATTATTATCATTGGTCAAGTGACTGATTTTGATTTATTTATTAAGTGACTGATTTTGATTAATTTATTTATTTTTATGGCTTATCAACCTTATTTAAAGCCAGAAAATATTTTTAGATCGTAAGAATTTTTTTTAGATAATAGTCACAAGTCCTACTAACTGACCTATAGGTGGGAGGAAAAGAGGTGGATTCATACCTTTCTCTTTTTGCGCCTAAGTGAATATAACGAGCCCGATTAGAATTTGACCTCGGCTCATCGATTCCCAATTCCAAGCCGTTATCTGTTACACCACTCGCACATCCAAGCTTACAGACCTGGTATTTCCAAATAGTCGCTCATCTATGTACTGACCAGTCTCGACGTTGCTTAACTTCGGTGATTGTACGAGAACTAGTGTTTCAGCGTGATATGGTCGTAAGCTGACTGATTTTGCATATCTTGAAAGAACGACCAAGAAGATCCAGTCAAACACCGAATAAACCTTCGATTGGCTGCTTTTGGAAAATATAAGGCTATATGGAAATCAACAAGAGTACCCTCCGACACCTAAACGATGATATATCGTATATATTTTCTTTCAGTTGTTTTCTCCGGATTAGATTGTACGACATGGACTCAGCTCAAATTTAAACATATGATATGTATCATCAGAGATCTCAAACTGATAGAAAAAATGAAAGTAGATATTTACTTGACCCCCAACTGAGTCAGGCTGTAGCACAAGGTCATTTTTAACGTGGGAACCCGTGTGTTTTCACTCGGGCCGCTAGTCCAAGCTGGTCTTAGCTGGTCATAGCTTATCCAAGATGGCCAGATCTGGTCAGAGCCGATCCAAGCCAGTCATAGCTGTGATACTACCCACGCAGAGACGGACCCCTACACCAGGTAAGTATCCAGAAACAATGAAAGTAACTATTCTTAGAAATGTAACCACTTTACCTTCACTCTTCAATACCATCTGTAGTAAAATCTTTGAAACCATTTGTACAGATTAGAAAGTTTAGTGTAGGACTCGCTAAATTTTAAATACCTGGAATAAAACTCAGAGGAAAACCAAAACAGGAGATGAAAGGATAACATAATTATGTGGTTACCAACTAATGAGTGGAAAATACTAAATAAGCACGATTAAGATAAATGGCGGGAAATAAGTCAGATTAGTTCACAATCTGCCGCAAGAGGAAACAACGGCTAATAATGATGCAAACTATTACTGCGTAATGCCAAAGTGAGCAATTGGCTCGTTTGAATGCTGCCAGGGTAGTGAAATCGAATAATAATTCCGCAGAATAATAACGCCCTATCCTCATAATGCAAATGCGGTGCAGATGAAAATGTTTGAGTCAATGTTGCACAAATCTAAACCAGAGAAAACAACCGAAAGAAAATATATACGATATGCAAAACCAGTCAGCTTACGACTATATCACGTTGAAACACCGTTCTTCCATTTAAAGCGTATTTTTCAAACTTTGTCACTTTCCCATTATCTACACAGTACGCTTCGTCTACTTTGCGAATATTTTGAAATTCTTACAAATTCCTCGAAGAATTAACAGAATCAAATCTATGATCGTTGTCCTACGACAGAAAACATATTTTATCTAAAAGCTCATAAAAAGCCAAAGTAAATTACTTTGGCGCCAGAATAACGACGCTATGAATTTGTATGAAGCATCATCAGAGCGTATTGATTACATGGATCTTCACAGCATTTTCCCTCCTTTTTTCCCGATCATCCATTGCATCTGGTAGGTCTTCCAGTTGGCATCCTATGATTACAAACATTTGCTGAATGTATGCTTTTAATAAGCGTCCAATGCTCGCATGCCCATGGTTAGGTGACCACAAGAAAACGTCAATTATCACTTCTCCAAGAATAAACAGCAAATCTTGTTCTCTCTCGAAACATTTGTGAGAAGAGATGTAAATGTCCATAGATGCTGTTTAAATGAATGTTTGCATGAATAAAAGATTTGATTAAAACTATGCTGGAAACTTTTGCTTCAGCTTAATATTAACGATACAGAAATCAGTTATTGTACAACAAACGTTTTTATCGAATGGATCACGACTCTTATCTTTTCGTGATACAAAAGGTTTTAGCATGAAATTAATGCATAGACTTCATCAAAAGAAAAAAAATCCCAGTCTCCAAGAATTCGTGCAAAATGGAGTGATGCCAACAGCTTAATGGGTTAACTCAATCTTCCAGAGCAAATGTATGATCAATCTAGAAACTTCCTTGTCAGACAATAGCATTTCGACAATGCCCATCATTCCTTGCAAGCATATCTTTCTTCAAGAAGCTTGACTGCATCACTGACAAGAAAAATAATCATTTGGCTCAGAGAGGAATGCAACTAAACCTTGTTTCAAAACAAACCTAAAAAATTAGAGTTCATGTTTTCTATTTTCTGGGCTAAGAGGAAAAAAAAAAAAAAACTAACGCCAAAAATGCTTACAACATAAAGCAAATGTTTGACAGGCATCTTACCTAGTAACAGATGGAAAAAATTCATTCAATCACGTGACCGTTTCTTTAAAGACATATGTATCCAAACAAAAATATGTATGAGTATATGATGTAAAATTCTAGTCGGCTCTACATTCTATTCTGTTTCCTTATATGATGTATAAATTCTATTCCGCTCTACATTTTATTCTCCTATATAGATACGGCTCTATATTCCATTCTATTCACGTATATGATGCATAAATTCTATTCGGCTCTACATTGCATTCTATTCTATTCACGTATATGATGCATAAATTCTATTCGGCTCCACATTGCATTCTATTCTCGTATAAGATGTATAAATTCTATTCGGCTCTACAATGCATTCTATTCTATTCTCGTATATGATCCATAAATTCTATTCGTCTCTATATTCCATTCTATTCACATATCTGATGTATAAATTCTATTCGGCTCTGCATTCTATTCTCGTATATGATCCATAAATTCTATTCCGCTCTACATCCTATTCTATTGTCGTATATGATGCATAAATTCTATTCAGCTCTACATTCCATTCTATTTTCGTATATGATCCATAAATTCTATTCGGCTTTACTTTCCATTCTATTCTATTCTCGTATATGATGTATAAATTCTATTCGGGCCTATATTCTTACAGAGTCAAAGCTACAAACTGAACAAAACTAGATCTATTTTAATGCTGAACAACAAAACAGGCACAAGGCAATTTGATGCATTCAGTAAATACTAAATCCTGTACACTGCCCTGTGCGGTTCATGGGCCACAGCCTTACAACACTATTGTTCTGCTTTCCGTAGCAAGTAATTTTTACAGGGTGTAGTTGCTAGACCCATGAAACCGGTTTTGAATTCAGAGTTGACCTTCTCCTAGATTGATTGTCCACCAAGGCTATATTTTACACCATAATTTGGGTGGGTAGTAAAAAGATAGATTTATAGCTTTCTAAGTGCATCTACACCAAAGTGAATGTAACGAATTCAGATGGAATTCGAACACAGCTCGCCAACTTCACGTTACGAGCTTCTAACCATTACATCACCTGAGCCTCCACTCAGAAAATAATAAACATAATTCTAGATTAGATACCTACACCTGTGACTTCAAATACGTGTCATAAAACGCATACACACAGATAGAATATAAAGTTTTACCAAGTCCTGCCCAAGTTGCCTGTTGGTACCTGCTGCTGCTCAATTACACACACACATAATTACATTGTAACCACTTATCAATAAAGATCAACAAGAATTTCTTCTGACATATTTTAATGGCTTGATATTACTCTTAGGTGAATTAAATGTTTATTTTTTTTAAACATTTCAACTGGTCAATTCTCTGGCCTTTGTGGTATTTATTTGATATAGCATTTCCTTGAGAAAGACTGAGTGAACAAAGCCGAGCGAAGTATTGAATTTACTTATGAAACAGAAACAAACAATACATTTACCTTTCTGCCATATCATGTTAAATCATACTGATAATGACCGAGAACTAAGTGTCTATCGTAAATCTACTAATAAAAATGATCTCGTAAATTTCTATTCTCGCCATAACAACCATAAAATCTCGTATAATTATCGGATTCTATTTAAAAGCACTCAGAGTTTGTAGGCTTCAATATTTACGTGATTGGGAGAAATGCAGTGAAAATACCTTTAAGCTTTACTAATAACCTAATTCTAACATATTTAACGCGAAACAAAATGCCCATCAAAATTTTTTAAAAATAAAACAAAGAATGATACAATAAAACTCAATGAAACGAAATACATTACACTACTTACCAACGCTATCACAACTAAAAATAATTTATTTAAGCTTAACATAAGTTTTTGCAACTACTTCTAAAAATAAAAATAAAATAAGAGACTTAATTAATACAATCAAAATAATAAACTTGATGTTACTCTATAACATGTAGTAACTGCCACAAGGAATATATAGGAAAGACCTCGAGGAATTTAAAGAAAAGATTATATGAACCCAAAACAACATATTTAATGCATTAGTCGCTCACCGTAACGCGTTTGACCATAATTAAATGCTACTTTAATTAAAAGAGAGCGAAATTTACCAAAACAAAAAAGCATAGAAAGTGCACAGATTATTAAATCACCCATGGTAAATTTGCGTACATATTCTTACCATATATATATATATATATATATATATATATATATATATAGATAGATAGATAGATAGATAATATGTGTGTATGTGGAGTTGCTGAAAAGTTCCCGGCACAAGCAAAAATGGATTCTAAAATAATTCATTTCGAACTGGATAGTTTTCAGCACATATTATTATCGAGGAAAAGGTTCATTCCTTCCCATTACATTAATTTTCATATTTTCATTAAGTAAATATGTGATATTGATGCAAAAATTATCAGCAGTTTTGACAAACTCTTAGCACCATTATTCTATCAACATAATATTTACTCCGGATTTCTATAAACCTGACACCTTTCAAGTAAATTATGTATTCCATTCTAAAAGTATAACGTCGTGTGTAGAACTTTCCATCCTCATACTATTCGTATCTTGGGGAAGGGCGGTGCTATACAGAAAGAAAAATCACCAATCAACTTGCTTACCCAGAAAAATTATTTTCTCTCTCCATGTATCATTCAAACGAACCAATTGCTCACTGTAACGTTATGCACTAACAGTTTTCCCAGGTTTCAACAACTTGTAACATTTGAATCCTAGTGATAAAGAACCTTCGTAAGTAGATTCTATTTAAGTTGAGAAGTTGAAGACTGTAGCCATGGTTTTGTTCACTTTGGAGTCTCGTAATAAATTTTTAGTACCTAGTGACTGACTTGTTCAAAAATAACAAAAACAAAAGTATTTAAATCATCACCAATTTCTTATTGCCATAAATTCACGGGGGACTCGTTTTTATAACTTGC